GATACTTTCTGGGCACACTTTGTGTGTGTGCGTGTGTGTCTTTCTCTCCTCCCCCTCCTTGCACAATAGAACCAAGCTGTTGCTTTTGAGCCTCCTCAAAGATTTTCTACTCAATTATGGAATTGTACTTCGAAAGAAGATTAAAGCAAAACTTTCATATTTCTAATTAAAAAAATAAGGGTTTAGTTCTGGAAACTCTTTGTTTCTAGTAAAAATCCAAATTCCTGAAAAGAGCTTGAATTTTGCATTTAACTCACTTAGACTTCTTTTAGGATTTTCAGTGCCAAAAATGGATTTGCCAATAAAAAAAAAAAATGAATAGAGGTCTAGATCATGATTTTCTGATGAATACAAGGAAAATTATTTACACTGTTTATTTGGACTACAGGATTAAAACGTTGGTTTGTAAATTTGGTGACATAGTGATTGTGAGTTCAAATCCTAGGTAGGGCAGTGTGTACTTGTACTCAGTAAAAATGGGCAAACAATAACTAAGCAATAACTACATGATATCCGTAGACATGAGCAGTGGAATGGGAACAGTCCACTCCCATAGATTAAATAAAGGGCTCTCTTCAGATTTCTCTGCAGGTTATCCAGATCGATATACACCTGAGGAAGGGTGAAAGTACACGACATCTAAAACGTTGTAATAACAACTATAGTCTGAATATAAATAGTGTAAATAAGGATAATTCCTTGTTCTAGAAATTCAGACAGAAATAAGGAAAATTATATCACAAACTAATATTTTGTGCCAAAACAGGTAATGATCAGTTCAACATAGGAAAAAATTGAGTACATTTTAAATATCTTCCTAAGAATGAGTTTCTTACTTGTCTCTATTTCTGAGATGAGGCATTGTAACAATTTACACTATTTAAATTGTTCAGACTATTGACCTCATCTTTATTGTCATATTTACAACATTTTGCCCGTTATACACTCCAGCCTTCTTCAGGTGATATCACATTAGGACTTCGAACCAAACCCTTTATTTTATCCATTCTATTTCCATATGCTATACCTTTTAGCTTAGTTTCAGTTATCTCCCTTAAGTAACTCACCTCTGCTGTGGCCAAGTATTGAACTCACAACTCCTTCGGGTCAAGTTACTTCAATCAATATTTTTATCTACTGGGCCATATGTCTTGGAGACAACATATATCATCTGAAGATACCAATATATATCACCTGAAGAAGGCCGGAGTGTACAACAGCCAAAATGTGATGAATATGGGAATAATGTAGTTGTAAAGAAAAGAAAAAAAAAGACTGTCAACTTATAATAGCAATAAATGTCTGCAATAGATGTCTTCTGTCTCACGACTGCAACACTTGTAGCCAAATCACAGTTCAAATGATAGTCCATCGTAACAGTCCAACAGGCAACGTAAAAACGACAAAATGGGGTCACACATCCAACCTTCATTTGTCACCAGCAAAACGTGTGTTTGTCCACCAAGCTCAGAAAATCCCATGTCACACATAAGCAAAAAACAATGGCTTTTGTTCACCAAGAGATCTTTCTCATTGGTCACGCCATTCAGGAGAGGGAAGAACATTAGCGTAGATTCTGGTCCTTAAAGTAGATTTTTGCTAACTACTTTTTGGTCATTTTTCTTCGGCAGATCATGCACAAAGCACAAACTCTTTTTTGAGGTAGCTGATTATCTCTTTCACTATAAATAAAAATGAGGATAATAGTCTGAACAATGTAAATAGTGTGAGTTTTTTTACATTTCACTGATATAAATTATTTTGATATTTGAAAGCTTACACTGAAATGGAAAAAAAAATTTTCTAGGGCATTTTTTGTTGGTATTTTTCGATGTTGAGGCAGAACAGAGACAAAATAATTCAGTTAATTTGATTGCATTTTGTGTTGTAGTGTCCCTAAATCAACTTAATAGAGGTATTTGTTTTTAAAGAGGATCAAATTAAACCCGCGTGTCATTTATAACATTAATTTCAACAAAATTCCAATGGATTTCTTAGCAAAAAGAGGTGGGAAAAGCAATCAGCCAGAACTGATCTCCTAAAGGTCAATCACTAAATGTTTACAGGTTTTGATTAACTTTGAGCAACCATAACTTGACAAATACTTGAAGTTAGGACAAAGTCAGACCAGATCTGAAATCCTGAGACTGTCTACTTAGATATAGAACACATCAGATGGGAAAATCTTCCAAACTTGCAAGCCTATTGTGTGTGAGTTTAAATTCTATAGGGAGGAGTACAGTAATTGCTTATACCTAAACATGAAAAACCATATTAACCCACATCCTACTGTCTTCTTAATTCATGTTCTTTCTCCTTAATAATGTTTTCTTTTTCTCATATTCTCTAACACTCAGTAACCCACTTGCATCTGAGTGGCTTTATTGCCTTGCTTGGGGTGAAATATATATCTGTCTATCTCAGACTGTTTGCATCCTTCTGTCTATCTCGGTCTGTTTGCAGCCATCTGTCTATTTCAGACTATTTGCATTTCTCAGTCTGTTTGCATCTATCGGTCTATCTTGGTTGGTTCAAGTCTATCTGTCTATCTAAAATTAAATGTTGAAACTTATCTTTATCAAATCAGCGTTTTCCAGAAATGGTATCTGATTATCAGAGGGTTGAGTGGCTGCCATATCTGCAAAATTCAGTTTGATAAGTTTAATGCTCTATTTCTTAATATTGAGAACTTACAAAGACTGTTTGCCATAAAAGTGTTATTCTCCAAAAATACAATTGTCAGGTGGTAAAAGAAGCAATATGATACTTCTTTTTAACTATTATATTGCTTCTTTTACTCATACTCATTAAAAATGAGTATTACCTCGCTTATTTTACCATCTAACGATTTTGTGATATTAAAATTAAATACCTTTACATCTGCATGAAACTTTTAGACATGGACTGCAGTAAACACCACTGTTTTTCTATATACATACATACATACATACATGCATATATATATATAAATATATTATAAATTAACTGATTTAAAATATGTTTTTTTTTGCTACACAGTATTAACCATGTTTCAAAAATGGAAGCTGAAAGCTTCGAAGTTAATATTCACTTGAGGATAAAATGGAACTAATGTTTTTAATTTGATTACAAAATTAAATTTGAAGCTTTCAGCTTCTATTTTTGAAACATGGTTAATACTGTGTAGCGGAAAAAAACATATTTTAAATCAGTTAACTTATGATATTAATGCTCTGTAAATTTACCTTGAGCAATAGTTTGTAAAAATAAAAATACCAATAAGAACACCGGATTATATATCTTACTGTTCTTTCTTTTTATTTACACACACACACACATATATATATGTGTGTATTTCAAATTTTTCTAGGTTGGAAAGTGAGGATTGTACAGTTCCAACTCCATTTTAATAAGTAAACATTTTAATATTTTTAATATTTCCATTATAAAATTTTGTCCTAACATTCTTAATGCTATTTCATTGCTTGGTTTGCACACATCTGTAGCAATTGTCTTTGAAGAAATCAAATAAAAAAACAGAGTTTTAAAATGGCAAAGTTAGAACTGTCAGAAAAACGTATAAACATTTTTCATTCAATAAAAACGCCACTGCATTTCTAGAATGCTATCTGAAACCTGTTTGAGTCACTTTTACTCTTTAACTTCAGCAATCGATAATGACATTGCCAATTGCCAATTGCCAATAATGGTTCCTGAAATTAACAGACTTCCTGACACTGTATGCATTCGTACAATTCATACAAACATTAATGCCGCTCACACACAGCAACGTGCCAATGCAAATATAAACTCTTTCAAACAGTGATTCTTTAAATCACCAATTACCAACATAAACTTTACTGGGGCACTTCGACATGGTGTAATGGTTAACAAGCTTGTCTTGCTAGATCAATTATGGTTGAGTAGTGAGTTCTATCCTCACTGGGTGCTCCACACTTTCGCCCTTGTGTCACATCTAAGCTATACATTTAGGGCATAACAGTGTGGTGTAATGGTTAGCAAGCTTGTCTTGCTAGAACAATTACAACTGAGTAATGAGTTCGATCTTCACTGGGTGCCCCATACTGTCAACCTTGTGCCATGTCTAAGATATGCTTAGAAATTCATTTTGTTGGGCACCTCAATGTGGTGTAATTGTTAGCAAGCTTGTCTCGCTAGATCAGTTATGACAGTATTGAGTTTGATTCTCACTGGGTGCTTGCCACTTTCGGCTTGTGCCTCATCTAAGATATGCTTAGAAAATCATTTAGGACACTTCGACATGGTATAATTGTTAGCAAGCTTGTCTTGCTAGATCAGTTATGACAGAAATGTGAGTTTGATTCTCACTAGGTGCTCCAATAATGAGGCCTTGTACCACATCTAAGCTACACTTAGAAAATAAACATAAACTACGATACTGAAAAATCATCTCTTGAATGCCTCGTTCACTACCATAATCTTCTTCATTTCAGTACACGGTGTACAATAAGCAGTAATAAATCTTTTGTCATTATTCTTGTTACTATTTATTTAAAATTCTAATTTATTTTTTTTCTTCATAAACTTTGTATATTCAATTTCCCTTCACCCTCGTCCAGCAACTGCTTGACATTTTTGTACAAAACTAGACCAAGCATTACCTCTCAGCACCAAGTAGCCAATGATTTATCACTCAGTTTCAACATGATGACCTGACCTGAAGTCATAACTGTTGATCTGGACTCAACTATAACCTGACATGCTGAGTTCAGTTTGACCTTGAGTCATGTGAACATGGTCTTACAACAAACTACAGTTGATTTTTTTTTATAAGAAACACGTTTTTTTTTTCTTTTAAAACAGACTAAAAAATATTTCCCTGTCAATCTACTTGGTAACCTCAAGTTTACCCAGACACCAATAGACTCTGCCAGTACATAAACTCTACAGTACTGTAATATTAAATATAAATAGGGTAATGGCCTTCATCAAATTATCAAATAACTTCATCTTCCATGAAGTGCCACTCTTGACACCAGGCAAAACACAAGTTTATATCTATCTATCTATCTATCTATCTATCTATCTATCTATCTATCTATGTCACTTCAGATCTATCTATCTATCTATCTATCTTGGTCACTTTAGATCTATCTATCTATCTCAGTCTATTCAAATCAATCTGTCTTGGTCTATTCAAACCTGTCTATCTCAGACTATTTGCGTCTCTCGGTCTGTTTGAATTTATCTATCACGGTCTTCAGATCTATCTATCTCAGTCACTTCAGATCTATCTATCTCGGTCACTTCAGATCTATCTATCTATCTATCTATCTATCTATCTATCTATCTATCTATCTATCTATCTATGTCACTTCAGATCTATCTATCACAGTCACTTCAGATCTATCTATCTATCTATCTATCTATCTATCTATCTATCTAAGTCACTTTAGATCTATCTATCTCAGTCACTTCAGATCTATCTATCTATCTATCTATCTATCTATCTATCTATCTAGGTCACTTTAGATCTATCTATCTCAGTCACTTCAGATCTATCTATCTATCTATCTATCTATCTATCTATCTATCTATCTATCTATCTCGGTCACTTCAGATCTATCTATCTATCTATCCATCTATCTATCTCGGTCACTTCAGATCTATCTATCTATCCATCTATCTATCTCGGTCACTTCAGATCTATCTATCTATCTATCTATCTAGGTCACTTCAGATCTATCTATCTATCCATCTATCTATCTAGGTCACTTCAGATCTATCTATCTATCCATCTATCTATCTAGGTCACTTCAGATCTATCTATCTATCCATCTATCTATCTAGGTCACTTCAGATCTATCTATCTATCCATCTATCTATCTAGGTCACTTTAGATCTATCTATCTATCTTGGTCACTTCAAATCTATCTATCTATCTATCTATCTATCTATCTATCTATGTCACTTCAGATCTATCTATCTATCTATCTATCTTGTCACTTTAGATCTATCTATCTCAGTCTATTCAAATCAATCTGTCTTGGTCTATTCAAACCTGTCTATCTCAGACTATTTGCATCTCTCGGTCTGTTTGAATTTATCTATCACGGTCTTCAGATCTATCTATCTCAGTCACTTCAGATCTATCTATCTATCTATCTATCTATCTATCTATCTATCTATCTATCTATCTATCTATCTAGGTCACTTTAGATCTATCTATCTCAGTCACTTCAGATCTATCTATCTATCTATCTATCTATCTATCTATCTATCTATCTATCTATCTATCTATCTATCTATCTATCTATCTATCTAGATCTATCTATCACAGTCACTTCAGATCTATCTATCTAGTCATCTATCTATCATCTATCTATCTCAGATCTATCTATCTATCTATCTATCTATCTATCTATCTATCTAGGTCACTTCAGATCTATCTATCTATCGATCTATCTATCTATCTATCTATCTATCTATCTAGGTCACTTTAGATCTACCTATCTCAGTCACTTCAGATCTATCTATCTATCTATCTATCTATCTATCTATGTCACTTTAGATCTATCTATCTCAGTCACTTCAGATCTATCTATCTATATATCTATCCATCTCGATCACTTCAGATCTATCTATCTATCTATCTCGGTCACTTCAGATCTATCTATCTATCCATCTATCTATCTCGGTCACTTCGGATCTATCTATCTATCCATCTATCTATCTATCTATCTATCTAGGTCACTTTAGATCTATCTATCTCAGTTACTTCAGATCTATCTATCTATCTATCCATCTCAGTCTTCAGATCTATCTATATATCTTGGTCACTTCAGATCTATCTATCTATCTATCTATCTATCTATCTATCTATCTATCTATCTATCTATCTATGTCACTTTAGATCTATCTATCTCAGTTACTTCAGATCTATCTATATATCTATCCATCTATCTATCTCAGTCTTCAGATCTATCTATCTATCCATCTATCTATCTAGGTCACTTCAGATCTATCTATCTATCTATCCATCTATCTATCTAGGTCACTTTAGATCTATCTATCTATCTATCTCCGTCACTTCAGATCTATCTATCTATCTATCTCCGTCACTTCAGATCTATCTATCTATCTTGGTCACTTCAGATCTATCTATCTATCTATCTATCTATCTATCTATCTATCTATCTATCTATCTCAGTCTATTCAAATCAATCTGTCTTGGTCTGTTCAGACCTGTCTATCTCAGACTATTTGCATCTCTTGGTCTGTTTGCATCTATTGGTCTATCTTGGTTCATTCACGTCTCTCTATCTAAAATTAAATGTTGAAACTTATCTTTTTCAAATCAGAGTTTTCCAGAAATGGTATCTGATTATCAGAGGGTTGAGTGGCTGCCATGTCTGCAAAACTCAGGTTGATAAGTTTAATGCTCTATTTCTTAATATTGAGAACTTTACTTACAAAGACTGTTTGCCATAAAAGTGTTATTCTCCAAAAATACAATTGTCAGGTGGTAAAAGAAGCAATATGATACTTCTTTTTAACTATTATATTGCTTCTTTTACTCATACTCATTAAAAATGAGTATTACCTCGCTTATTTTACCATCTAACGATTGTGTGACAGTAAAACTAAGCACCTTTACATCTGCATGAAACTTTTTAGACATGGACTGCAGTAAACACCATTGTTTATATATATATATATATATATATATATATATATATATATATATATATATATATATATATATATATATATATACACACACACATTTTGCGATGGGTAAATTGTCACCATTTTATATTTTTAATTTTGTGCATGTATGTTGTTTGTTTCTGATTTTGTCGGCACCATCTGTGTGGAAAAGAGCACCATAGCACAATTCACTCCACCAGAAATTTGGAAACAGCATGCTGTATTGCTTGATGTTCACAACAGAAACTACAATACGAACATTTCAAAGTGTTTGGGTGTCAATCTGAGGACAGTGCAGAAGATTTGGAAAGAGTTAAATGAGTCTAATGATGATCATGAAAGTACAGCAGTTTGGAAAACTCACGTTGATCGTTCTGATCAGAAAAGAACTTCAGAATTTGTTGGTGAGAGCATCAGACTCAACATGGAGGCTTACATCAAGTGGCTTAATGCTACCCTGAGTCAAGAGGTTTGCGGGTGGGTGGAAGACACTATGTCTGGCAACAGTACTCTGCACCATGCCACATAAGCAGGAGAACACAGTCATAGCTGTCAGAGAATTTCTGCAAGCACATCACCCCTTATATCTGGCCACCTAGCTCCCCAGACGCTTGTTGATTATTATGTGTGGGGTGCAATTGAGCAAGAAACCATTAAAACACCTTGTAACACCAGATGAACTGAAGGCAAGGATTATGGCAACATTCACCATTTAAACAAAATATACTGACCAGAAGAATTGCAGGAAATTCCAAAGTCATCTGGAGGTCAGGGTTGAAGCCAATGGCAATTTTATTGAATAAATTTATTCTCTAGTGTTGCAAGATATTTCTTATAATTTTGGTAAATATATTTGTTAAAATGAGAAGACAGTGGTATTTTCATTTTTGTGTAATTTAGACGACAATTTATTCATTGTACCATATATATATATATATATATACACATTTATTTTTGTCCTAATCATTGTAACCTAACTTATAATCTTAATTGTTGGTTTAGTTGGAAATCACTGTTCGAAAGAAAAATTAAAAAAAAGAAAATTGAATGTCTTTGGCTAGAAGTGAAAGTGTCTTGTCAGTATTCTCATGATCTAGTTGGCCGAATTTCTTGTGAGATAAAATGTCCGAACATAGAATTGTTTTTGCTGTTTCTTTCTCCTGTTGTTTTAAATTTTATTGAAAGCAAGTCTCCTAAGCCCACTGTTGTTAAAGGTTGGGGGGGATTGGCCGTTGATTTAAGGTAAGCCATACAATCACTGCTTATCATGAGAATAAAAGCGGTTGCATCCTAGTGGCTTCCCGTGGGGTGATACACTTATAAAAAAAGAAAAAATATAGAATTATATATATAGGTTATATATATATAATCCTATATATATATATATATATATAAATATATATAATCCTATATATATGTTGAAACTTGGATAAGCATGGAATAATAATAATACAACACAAAATGTACGTAAACAAAATGTATTGAAACAAGGAAAAGGTACACAATATTTACAGTTAGTTTTGGTATATTCTTGGGAAGACTGTTCCTGCATAATGGGTTGACTAAATCGCAGTCGGGCAGAGTCTCTGGATTCGATCTCTTCTTACAATCCCTCGTCTTCGGTACCAACCCATATTTATATGGTCGGTACTCCACTTATGTAAATTAGGTGTATCGTACACAACAATATATATATATATATATATATATATATATATATATATATATATATAAATATATATATATATATATATAAATATATATAATCCTATATATATATATAATCCTATATATATATATATATATAATCCTATATTTAACGTTGTTATTTATAGATACAAGTATTTAAGCAAATGCTCTGTTTATGATAAACAGTATTAAATAACATTTACCGAATAAATATATATATAACCCTATATATATATATATATAATCCTATATATATATATATATATATATATATATATATATATATATATAATTATAATATTGTTTTGTTTAAAAATATGATTCTTTCGCTACATAAGAGTTCTCATGTTTCAAAAACGAGAGTTGAAACCATCCAAATATTTATTAAAATTAAGTTGAATTGAGGTGTTTAGTCCTGTTTCATCTTCAAGCGAAATTTTAGGAATAAGATATCTCTTGGTTTATGTGTGTTTTTAGGCATGGTTTGTTATAACATTCGTTTTTGTCGGAGTGGCTAGGCGAGTTATCTTTGTTAAGTGGTCAGAGAGTTAATTCTTATCTATAGATTCATCATCTTCTGAGAGGTTTTGCTCAGGTTGGATAGGGTTTGTATTTCACGGCTATGTTGGCGGTCATCCTTTTGTTAGTTCCTGGTGAGGGATATTTTTATGGCGTGCCTACAAGTTGTTATGTGTTGGGAGGATTTTGTTTTATTATTGTCTATTTGATTATCTCTTTATTTATTTGTTTATTCAAGTGGGTGTTTTATATACAAACCATATTACACTGAATTAATTTCAATTTGTTATTTGACGACTATAGAAATGGTTTTTCCTATTTAATGATTTCGCTAAGCTTTTAAGACTTTTAATAAACTATGGGGATTTTTTTTATGCTAATTATTTAATGCGAAAATTTGTTGATGCCGGCAAAAAACCGTTAACTTTTTCATTATTTAGAAACTTAATGATGTGTAGTTTTTCGTGTAGGCATAAAGGGCATGGGTCAACCCAGGTTTTACAAGTTCTAGTTTTATTTACTATTTTCCATTTTACTTTTGGTGTTTTATTCGTTTCTTTTAGATGCCAGAAATATTGGGATAGAGATGTCTGATTTCAATTTTGAATATTGTTGAAGGAGCTCTTGTGTTGCCTCCATCTAATTTTAAAATTATTCTTTGTTGTGCCTATGTATATTCTATCAGTGTTAGAACTATCTATGGATGAGATAGTGCATTGGTATACCACGGATTTTATGAGGCATTTATTTTCCAACAGGCAGTCTTTAGGGTTTCTACAATCACATAATTTTTCGTTATTTTTATCTAATTTTAGTTTATGAGTTTTAATACTGTTTTGGTATGCGTGTTTTTCTAGGGTTTTCTTATTATGTCTTTTTATGATTCTTTCTAGATTTTCAGTGCAACTGTAACTCAATTTTAATGTGTTTTTGTTAAAGATCTCGCTATGTTTGCTATTAGTGGGAAAGTGCTTTTCAATTAAAGCTAGGAACTTATGGCCTAGTTTGGTACTGACCATTTGGTTGTACGGAGTGGTATACCAGATGATCTTTCTTTTCCTGTTTTTCTTATTATTGGTACTATCGTTTCTATAGGTTATGTCAGCATTTTTTTATCTGCTATTTTTCAGGGCTGTGTTATAAAAACTACTGTGTTGTTGGAATATTTCATTATTTGCTGAGTTCATACTGATTCTTTTCTCTATTCATGTGGGTATATGCTTAATTATAGATGGAGGGTGGTTTGACTTAGGGTATACATACAGGGGATTAGTATTAGGTTTTCTGTAAGGTAGGTGAACGTTGTTCGTTAAGTCTAGGGTTACGTCTAGGAAGTTTACTCTTTTTAATTTAGTGTTGACTATTGTTTTTAAATTTAGTTTTCCGAATTCATTATAAATTATCTTTCTAATTTTCTGTTTTAAAATTTGTGGAGCTCCTCACTACCATGAGCCCGTCATCTCTGTATAGCCCGATGTCCCTAATGTCTAGTTCACGGTTAGATTGTACAGTATAAATAGACCGACAAGGTCCGAAGATTCTGCAGAGTCTATTATATATATAATCCTATATATATATATATATATATATATATATAAATAATCCTTTAGTTTGTTTCTCTCCAAATATGAATAGTTCTTGATCAATTCTCTCAATGCCATAAGAAAATACCTAAATGACACTCAAAAATGTGGAGGAACTCCAAATAAAAATGAATATCATTATTTCCATAACTGAGAACTGCTACTTTTGGGATTAATGAGTAGATGCTTCCTCAAATGCTACAATCTTAATCTGTTTGGGTTAAGGGTCAATCACTATCCATCCTTTTACATTCATACCCTACCACATTCAGTAGTCCTTTGTTGCGGGGGTATTAGTATGTTTGGGTAGAAATAGGTCATCATTTTGTTGCAGGTATAACCTCTTTGGTTGTGATGTGTATAGACACTCTATATTAAATGTATATGGGCTCCTGGAACATTTGTTTGTTGAAAAAAAGTTTGAACAAAGTAACTATAAACAATTTTTTTTCTATCCTCTGCCAGCCGCAATGACGGAGAAAGCATTACCTTGAACCATCACTAGTGAGACACACTGCAAGAGCCACTCCATTTTGCGAGGCTCATCCCTTAATCGAGACGCAATCGCGCCAATCCTCCAAAGGAACGCCATCGAACGAGGGCCAATAATCTCAGAAGTCTCCACTGCCACAGGAGTAAAAAAAAATCTATCAGCAAGAGAAGAATATTTAACTATTTTTTTTTTTTTTTTTGTCTCTGCGTCCTGGGCAACGGACCCCAGCTCAACTGTGGACCTGATCAAATTACCGGCCGAAAATGTATCCGCACAGGTCGCATCCCAAATCAATGACTTCCCCATTTTAAAAGGGAAATTGGTAATGCCATCCGATCGCTTTCCATCACCATGGTCGAGGAAGGGAACCCAACTGCATCCAAACCTCTTCTGATGATGTCGTTTATTGCTGCATGCCATGGAAAGCGGCCGGTACTACGACGACAGGAGAGAGGATGCAAACCAAACTCATCGATGAAACATTTATCCCGCAAATAATATTGACAGACTCATGTGAGTCCCGATAACAATAAAACACAAAACAATGCATGTTATTAACAAAATTAATTACATGTTTATACAATTGTAATAAAAGGAAAAAAAAACCCATTAAAACTAGTTATAAGAGTGTGTTTGTTTGTGTGTGTGTAACAAATATGTGTGATAGACACATGTGCATGTGTGAGAGAGTTCAAAAGTCAACAAAGCGAACATGCTCTGTCGGCAACATTCTTTTATTCTACGTTCGACTACACCTGGAAGCAAGCATTAAAAGGAGCTAAAAAAAAAGAGGAAGAAAGAGAATATAATTGCCTTTTTAAAGCTTTAAAGAGTGCCCCACCCCCTACTAGCAGGGGTTTTGGCAAAGCCAAGTGGGTTAACAGTTAATACACGTCTTATTGGATGAACTTTAGTATAAAAATATATATATAAAATATCTTTTTTTCTGGTAAAGAGAAATAATGTTTATAAGCTTTCATTGTATATTGAATTTAAAATGCAATAATCCGAAAGCAGACAAGAAAAAAAATCAAAATTGGGATTCCAGAAGAAACAATCACATTTGTTTGTAGTACTTAATGATTAATGTGTAAATAAATTTCAAAAGATTTGTCTGTGATATGCTTTTAAAAAGTTATATTTTAAATAACGTTAAATACGTACAAAACATGTTAACGGCACATATGTGGACTACAAAACGTATGGTTCAGGTAAAGGTCAAGGTAAAATCAATCTCTAAACCCTTAATTGCTTAATATTTTATTATTTCTTCAAACACCTTGACTTTGCTAAACTTAACATGGTAAATCTATTAATTAAATATTGTGTGTAAACTGGAAAAAAACTAACTATAAAAGTAAACTTTAAAAACAATCAGATATTTTTAAATAAATAAAAAACATTTTTAATGTACTTGAATTTCTTTAAAATAATTTCTTTTCTTTTTAGAAGCACCAATGAGACAGGTAACTCACTCTCAAGCGACTTGCCTCATCATGTCGCAATTCACGCATGCGTACTACTAACTAGTATTTTGTCACAAGTTGTAATCCACTTTTTTTCTTTAATGTCAACATCTTTAAATCTATAATTGATATTATTATTATTACTCATTTTTTAATAAATTGTGAGATAGAGGAATTATATCGGGTTTAAAAAAATATACATTTGAAAGTTGACAGTTTTTAAGTGTTATCTCGTTACCTGAGGTTCAATACTGTGGAGAAGGTGGGGGTAGTGGTATCCAGGTAAGAAGGTGACTGACTACGCATATAACAGGTGCCATATTCACTGTGTTTTGTACATTACTCGTTTGTTTCCAGCATGGACTCGGCTTTTATTTTCCTACTGTTAACTATTGTGCCTTCATGTAAGTTCTAATTACATATTTACCATTTCCAGGTACGATTTCCGTGCCTTAATAAATCCCTAATCGAAGATTTTTCTCCACCCAGGTTTTGTCTTTTTTCCAGTTTTGTGTCATCTTAGTTCCCCTTTCTTTCCGCATGTGACGTTTTTTTTTGTTTTGTTTTTTTAAATACAAATATTTATTGATTCATGTGTTGTTTGTAGAGAGAAATGTTTAATTTTTAGTTTTAATTACTGTCTATTTATTTGATTTTTATGTTAGTTAATAAAAATAGGAAAAGCCTTTGTTTTTTTTTTTTTAAACCATAAAAAAACGGATGGCACCCTCTTTGTTCTTCTTAAGTCGTTGATCACGACTATTTTCTTGTTCTTTTCTTTAATATTGCTTTATTTTCTTGAGATAACAACGTAATTTTCTTACCTCAGATATTTTTCATTTTATATTTGTTTGGAAAAATCTTTAATTCTATTCTTATTTGTGTGTAAATAAATCGTATCTTTTTTTTTCCTTGTCAGTTGACCTGATTTTAAAAAGGTGTTGGTCACAAAAAAATGTCCTTTTTACTTTGACTGTTATCAACATTTATTTATTTTAAATTTAACATCTTTTTTTAAAAATGTTGATTTCTGGTAAACAAAAAAAAATTCACTGTTTTCCTTTTATTAAAGTTCCGTATTTCATGATTTTAAAATAAAAAAAAAAAATCATTATTAAATGAAATCGTTTAAAAGTAAAATTTGTCACCATCCTTGTTTGACACCCCCCCCCTTTTTTTTTTTCTAGGAAGTGCAAATGTTTGTATATTTTGATTTCTTTAAAAATCATCAATTTAAAAAAAAATATGTTGGAAACCTTACTTTCTAGTAATTAACTTGATTAATTAAGCGATTAATCTTTAATTTTTAGTCGATTTGTTGTCTAAAAATCGAAACTTAAATTGATTGAAAAAAAAATGACAATTGGTGCTGGAAACAGATTTTTACTTTTAAAAAACTTATCAACTTCTAAATAAATTTAATATTTTTATTTTATTTTTTCATCTTTGATTAAATATTGATTATAACTTTTATTGCAAATATAAATATTGAATGACATAAAAAAACAAACAAATGGTACTTGAACCCGTTTTTAAATTTAAATATGCATTGTTTTTACTTTTTTCTTTTGTTTTGAAATCAAATTCTTATTCTTTTTTTTTTTTTTTTTTTTTTTTTTTTTTTAGATTATTCCTTAAAATTTATTTTAAGTAACTTTTAATTTTATCCTTTATTTTCTTAAAAAAATCATTTCTTAGGATTTTTTTATTTTTTTATTTTTAATAAAAATCATATGATGGAAAGAAACGGTCAAGGAGAGGAAAAAAAGGATATTTTATTTTTCCTTTATTATTGATTTTTCTTTTTACTTTTTAAGAAAAACTTTATTTTTATTTTGTTTTCATTTCATCATACGGCATCTTTTCCTTTTTAAATTAAAATTTCAATTCTCTTCATATTGACAAAATAATTTCAATTATTTTCTTACTAATTGACCAGATGTTCGTTTCTCCATTTTCTTTGGAAAACGAACTTTTAAGAAAATCTATATTTGAGAAATTTGAAATTCTTTAAAATTTAAAATTCGTTTTTTTTTATTTGCATCACAGAGTAAAAGCGCATTCATTGCATAATAAAATGTTTATTTTATTTATATATATTTTTTTTTTTTTTTTTTTTTTTTTTTTTATAGCTAAATTACTTTCTCTCAAAAGTAGTCCTCAAGTAAAAAAAAAATAAAAAAAAAAACAATTTAAGAACTTGATAAAGAAAACTGCTAAGTACGCAGTTTATTGTGATTTCAGTTTTAGTTGTGATATTTGTTGACAAAGTCCAGGAATGGTAAATCTTTCTTTTTCTTAATAAATTCATCCTTTTTTTTTTCTTCTTTAAAAAAAAAATAATGGTTGTTGAACGTATTGTTGTGAGAAAATGTATATAGAAAAACTGTCCATTTTTGAGTGTGTTGTGGGGGTTGTATTGTTTTAGGAGGAATAATGAAAGGATCAGAAATGAATTCCAACTTAAACACTTCACCCTCCATCTAAAAAATTGTCTTGACTAGAGATATTTAAAGTTCTTGAGTTTCACGACTTAAATTCCCTAAGTATTGAACCCTTTTTTTTTTTTTTTTTTTTTTTTTTAATTTTTATTATTTTGCAAGTTTTGGCCACAGGAACTCGATATCAGCGAAACACTGATTGATCCAAAAACCCAAATTCTTCAAAGTTCCAAATAAACATACGATGCACACACAAACTAAACATAACATTTTTTTTTTTCTAATTGTAAATTATATATAATATATATATATATATATATATATTTTTTTTTAACTAAAACATTTTTTTTCTTTTTTACACCAAGTATTAGAAAGCAATTTATCATGTTGCAAATAAATACCTTTTTAGTCAAACAAAAAGATGCAACTTTTCAGATATTTCACAAAAAGTAAGTTTTCCTCATTCTTGTTCCTCTCTTGGATGGTTTCCATCTCTGTTCACTAATATTTCATTTTTTTATTTTTGGCATGGATTTTTGTCTTTATATCATTTTCAATATTTCCAAGCCAAATTAAAACTTGCTATTTTGTTTGACTTTTAATTCTATTCCCTTCATTAAGTTTAGTCAAATTATATTTATTTATATTTTTTTTTTTTTTTTTTTTTTATAGATTTTCTCTAGTTGGCATTTTTCTTCATTGAACTCTAGGCTTACACAAATACACTTACAAATTTTAATACTTTTTTTTTTTTTTTATTTTTCATTTAAAGTCAACATTATTTTTCCCATGTAGGTAATAGACATAATGATGCTTTTATTAATTAGGTATCTTGATTGTTCCAAGCAATTTCGTGAGGATCAAAAATTGATTCTTTCTCCCCTCCCCAACAGCCTTCAAAACCCCCAATAATTTAACAATGTCTTTTTAATAAACCATAACCATCCAGAATATAGCAGACACATGTGTAACTGTTTGGATGTTTTATTTTATGCACAATGTCCATCATAGTGAAACAGTATTATTAATTATACTAGTTGTTCTAAAATACTTTTTAGTCCTTTTTAGAATAGATTCAATTAGCTTTTTTTTCCCACCTCCTTCTACAAATTTGTCTGGCAGCTGTTTTTGGATTAACGATTTCTTTTAACTTTAAGAGTTTCTAGGGTTGTATTAAACTGCTTTTCTTCATATTGTTAATTTCTACTGGTTTAATTTGTAAAAGGATTAAAGTCTATCCTGCTGGCAGATGATGCCTAAAATATTCTGAAGTATTCTGAAAGAGATATATATATATATATATATATATATAGAAACCTCACATTACATTGTGGTTAAAATAGGGGCATATACCTGTTGGCACCAGTTGGTGTTTACAGAGTTATTCATTCAGCTAGATACCTACATACAATTTAAAGATACTTTCATTTATTTATTCAAAGTAGTAATGAGACAATTATTCATTACTAAAAATTAGACTTCAAAGTAATTAGGCCATTTAATGAATTAATTTAAATCATTTAATGACTTGAAAAATGCTTTTGATTTCCTATTGCAAACTTTAAATTTTTACTAGACCACCCATAAACCTGTTACTTTTCTTTCAAAAGCAGTTCATTATACAAAATGATGAAATAATATCAATTTTATTATTAATTACACATTTTAATTTGTATTTACAATGAGTTATTATAATAATTGTCATCATAGGAAACCGTTTAAATTATGATATTGGATCTTTCATTTTTCAGGCTGGGAAAAATTTTATGGCATGAAAATCAGCCAAAATGCAAATATCCTGATTTAAAGTATGAAAATAAATTAATTTATGATATCAATAGATATGGTTTAATCTTTACATTAAGAGAAATTTCTACTATAAAATGTAAATTGAATAAAAATTTAATACTAAAGACCATAAAAGAAGGTTTATTGTTCCATTCAACTTCATAGTTAACAACTTACATGAAAATTTGGAGTAATAACTTAAAACAGGTGTTGTTTTTTCAAAATATGTATTTTTTATTGTTTCTTTGTTATATTTATTTTAAAAAATTATAACAGCAATAAATCAGTGTGCATCTATTTATTTACCATCAAGTCATGTGACACACATAGCCTCTTCACCTTTTTTAAGTAGTTTTATAAAACAAAGTTCTAATGTAGTGTAGTGAATTTTATAAATATGTTGTGTGTGTGTATATATATTAGAATGTATTATGAATGCCTATTTTTGACACGCGGATACAAGTATCTGTCAATATTGAGATGAGGTATTATGTACATTATTTACACTATTTGGACTATTGTCCTCATCTTTGTTGCCATATTTATTACGTTTCGGCCGTTATGTGCTCCGGCCTTCTTCAGGTGGTTGGAATATCAAACTTAACCCTTTATTTTGCTCACTGGGGCAGACTGTTCTAGTTCCACGTGCCATGTTTAATGGATGTCAGTTATCTCTTGTTAATTTTCCTCTGAAAGTTCTCCACTGCCTTAACCGGGTATTGAACTCACACTCTTTGGGTCCTGTCACTGGATCTAATCAACACCTTTATCCACTGTGCCATGTGTCCAGTGAGCAAAATAAAGGGTTCAGTTTGACATTCCAACCATCTGAAGAAGGCTGAAGCGTACAACAGCTGAAACATTGTAATAAATATGGCAACAAAGATGAGGACAATAGTCTGAATAATGTAAATAATGAATATGCAAGTGTTTATATATGAGGATTAACATAAGACTGTGTATCAAAAATGAATACTTAATTTTCCTATGTTTTTAAAAATGTCTTAACTCAATGTTTTGTCAAATTTTAATTAAATTTGGCACTACACTTAGGTGTTCAAGGTACAGCATGCTCCTAATGTGGTTGTGGTATTGTTTGAGTTCTATCTCAGGAAAAGACATACATACATTGTTCAGGCTGCTGTCCTCATTTTATTGCATGTTCATGACGTTTT